AGGACAATAAGAAAACTGTTAAAAAGAAGAAAATTAAGGATTAATAAAGCATCTTTCGACATTGAAGCTGACCTTTTGAAAATACCTTATTTTCTTCCTGAATTCCAAAATAAGTCCCTCTATTTTATGAAAGATGTCTGGAATTAGAAATTCACCCCCAGAAAGTGGGGTCTACCACGCATTGACACATTCTAGAGACAGAAATGTAAACCCTCTAGACCCTCACATATACAGAAGTATCTCAATTGGATCCATCATGGTGAAAGTATTAATGAACATTAACTAGGCGGCTGTCATCGTTATATGAGTCAACTTCTCACGAGCCAGTTTAGTTTTTGTCCTGGTAATGGATGCAATGATGGCATATATGTTATCCAACAGCGCCAAAACATTGCTTAGCTTTCTAAAAGGAAACTGTATACCTGATTTGTCGGCTCACAGCAGCATATGACTACATCAATAGAGAATTTCTCTTCTCAACCATAAGAAACTGCTTTCCTAAGCACCGAATCCACTGAGTGCATAAGGAACATTATACAATATCTTAGATATCTAGCGAGAACCCCAATACGGAAACATTTCAGACCTCATCAGAAGTACGACAAGGAGGAAGTGAGAGCCCCAGTCTATTTAATCTCTTTCTAGACTATGCCCTATGCATTCACCATTTAAACATTCCATACCGCATCCCAAATGTATCTACCAATAGCAGACAACGATACTGCTCTCCATCCCGATGATGAGGGTCTATGACATAGGTATTCATAGCTGGGGAAAGATTAATCTTGAACAGAAAATCAACATCCTCTATCAAGTGTTCCAGGAAATGGGACTCAAGATAAACCTTTCCAAAGCAGAAACTCGGATCCGAAATTGGAATGAAAGGGGGGATTTCACCTAACCTGAATTCATCATAAAAATTCAGGATGTGGAATTAGTAAATACTAAACATTTCAGATACCTCAGCCTATAAATCAGTTATAATACATTTAGTATAGAAGAGAAATAAATTGAACATAGAATAAGCTGTCCTATGGGTAGTTTCGCCCAACACCGCAAATTGCTACAAAACCAAAACATTAACCTGAAAACTCGAGTCATGTTCTTAAATAGCCTTGTCGGATCGAGACTGACACTTTCATATAGACGCCATACATGGTACCAAACCCTTTCAGAAATATCTAAACTGTCAGCTGTATATAACCGCTCCCTAAGATCAACGGTGAAAAAAAGACTTTGAGCGTGTAAAGCCTGTGAGTCTTATCAAAGATCATCCTTCTTTGAACATTGTGGGCGGGCGCTGTAGATTCACAAACAAAGAACTGTACCAAATAACAGAAACCACATCACTTGGGGACTACCAATGTTAAATAATAGTCTAGCAAACTATTATTTTTTAGAGAATTGTATTTCTCCTCTGACTTCCTCATTTTGACCTTTGAGGTCAGATGCAGGAAAACAAAGGAAGTCGTTTTTGATTGGTTAAAACTAACGTGAGAATGTTGGATGTAGAAAGGGATTTCAGGGAGTTAAGTTTTATACGTCGTATTATGTAGACGTGTTATATTTTGCTCCCCAGTGGGGTGGGATAGTAACCCTACTGACCAGTTAGAAGATGTACACGTCGACGTAGTGAATATTACTATTACGTTTAAAATTCCTTTATTGAAGTTCTCTTTTGTTTCCGAACTAAAACTAACTTGCAATCAGCGGCCGAGAAAGAAGAAGGCAACGTTATGATCAAATGGACCCCGTCGCCTCAAGACCAAAACCGCCACCAAATTGCTATTCAACACCAACAGCAGCAACAACTAAACTGGATAGCACATTGTTGTAGCCTAGGGAATACCACTGAATAAAATAATCACACGAAGGTTGGTAATGAATGACAATACTTAGGACAAGAACAGCACATGTAAGATTCGCCAGCGGCGCGTAGAAGTAGTCAACTGTTAGAAGTGATTCAAGTGATTTCCACAATGAATCTCCAGCTGCAAATGATATCTACCAACCGCCCCACGCGTTCAGATGTGGCACAAGGCTGAATTTAATGTGAGGTATTCAAGCCCGTAGGCTTGGCCAAAAATTCCCCCTAGACCCATATAAAACGGAGTCGGGTAGTTGTTTCCGGAGACGAAACTCTGACTTTTGACATAGCCTTGTTTGGGGATCCTCTCTGCCCAGAGGCAGAGAGTTTGACCGGCACAGCTGGAGACGAATCTCCAACTGCAGACCAACATACAGTATTTACTACTGTATTTATGTGAATGGGGGCATACCTATTATCGTCTGTAGGTAGGCTACAACACACATCTAACTCGAAGAGAACTAATGACATAATTAAGATATTGAGATGACACATTACTTCAAAAAAGGATTAGAAAGGAAACCCCATTGTTAAGAAAGTTGGTTCACTTTGTCGTGCTAGACAGTTTTTTCTCTCCAAAGTCTATCTTACATATTTATACGTTTACCATTCGTCCATGCTTAGAATATTACTGCTATATGTAGCCCGGTGCTCCTGCTATCTGTCTAGAGCTCCTCGATAAAATCCAAAGAAGTATCAGCAACATTATTAGCCCTGATCTGACATCTCGGCTTCGGTTACTTTCCCATCACCGTAAAGTTGCCTACCTTTACCTTTTCTATAAATACTTTCATGGTAATTGTTCGGGTGAGCTCTTCGCTATGGCCCCTTTTATTTCTGTCCCAATTTTTGCTTTAAGTTTAATTCCCCATCCCTTCCCTCGTTAGGTGGTCAATGATGCCAGTTCGCTGGTGAATGCGGGGCGCCTTTCGTTTCGCGTGAGTGATTTTTCGTATTTGTTGTTGTGTCTGAATGAGTGCATGTCAGTGAGAGTGCTTAGGATGAATGAATGTTGTATACTATTATAGTCTCGCATTCATTTCGACCAGTGAATTGATGTTTCTGCCATATTTAGTGATTGGGGGGGTATTACTAATATTATTTTCTTTAGTTTCTTGTAAATAGTTTTGTATTCATATTTGTTAATACTCATTGGGGCTAGTTTTTAGAATTGTTGTTTTATTCCACTCCCCGCCACAGACAATAAATTGTAAATATGGGGACTAGTTAGTATTTTCATAGAGACAAAGAGGTATTATGGTGATTGTAGTAAAATTGGTACGTATGAATGTGTTTGTTTTGGTGTAAGGATTATGGTTTGTGCGATTGGGTCAGCGTTTGTGGGTAGCTAAGTTATAGTTAAGACAGAAGAAGACCGTCCTTTCCCCAATCCTCCCTTTGGTCATGTGCCACATTTCTGTATTTTAACAGAATAAATATCGCTCTTCGCTATGGTGTCTAGACTCTTCGAATTTAAGCACAGTACTAGGCTGGCGACGAGGTCTCACCAATTTACAGTTGAGCTGGCTTGATGTAACCGTAAGTTCTATGCTAACAGTTTCTTTTCTTGCACTTCTCGCTTGTGGAACTCCCTTCCCGTTTCATGCTTTCCAGCCAACTATAAACTGCAAAAATTTAAATGTCAATCGCTATCTGCTTTCCTTCTGATTACTCTTTCTCTGTTCTTACTCCTTAGAAATGTTCCTGTTTCTAACTCTTCCCCACCCAATAACCCCTTGCGTCTCGGTGGTTTTAATGCCTTTTTTGGGTGAAATCGTTAAAAAAAACTACTGGAAAGAGCGATAACAGCTACTGGACTTGAAAAACAAAAAAAAAACAGTGTTTTAAGAGAAAGATTTTATAAATTTCAACCGAAAGCAGTAATGGCTGCTCGGCTAATGAATACCAAATGTCTCCTTCTAGGGAAACGGCTTATATTATATTATATTATATTATATTATATTATATTATATTATATTATATTATCATTACTACACATAGGCTATCTGGTTCGATGTCAAGAGACAAAGAAGTTAGAATATAGGTGCATTAAATTTGAGATACACTTCAATTCTTTTAACATTTCTAGGAAAAACATGTTTCCTACTCTGACTCTGTCACCTCTAAAATGTAGAGAAAAATATCCAGTCGCTGACTTATAAAAGTGGCTGACAAAGAAGAGTATAGGTGAGTCGACACTTTTATAAACCTTTCTCCCATAGCTAAGTTTAGTAGCAAAAATCAATTCCGCCGAATATCAATCGTGACAGGATTCAGTAACAATCACTAATGTACAAGGATGTGTTCTTCAGTTTTTCTAGTAGCCAGGTGTTATTGATGTAAACAAGGTTGTAATTAATTGTTTTCAACAGAGACGAGACATCACTTATTTCCTGTGAACATATTTGTACGCAATCGATACAGTAACAAAAAACTTCTGAATTTTGGTTTTCAGAGTATTTTAGCCATTGTACCTGATGTTCCTGAATTGAATGTGTGGGTGGTATAACGGTTAGCGGTTGGAAAAGAAAAATATGCAATCTGAGTTCGAATACCAGTCGGGGTTCGTTACCTTCACTTTCGCGCGCATATCTTTAGGAAAGGTAGGTACCAATCTCATCTCCACACAAACACACACACTCACACACACAGCAGCTGACAGTAGTGCAGAATAGGCTTTCAGCCTTGGTCGGTAAACCGTCTAGGAGTAGGAAAAAACCGAAATTCCAAAACTAGTTAGACGGAACACGTTAGGTGCGAGTCTAAAGGAAGGAAAACCCCGAGAGAAAACCCGCTTTTACTCAGCGGTTGAGCGTGGTGGGGAGGGCTATCATCCCCACACTATGGAACAATTTGATCACAGAAACCTTACGTGAAGCCTTATGCGTCACGAGACACAAGGCAGACAGCAATGTGATTTTCTTTAATCTAATATCCGTGTCTTTGTTGCACCCTCAAGAAAGATGAGATTTGAAAACATTCTAGGATATAATAACCCATGATGCGGGGACTGAAGGTATCCAGCTGGAACGTAAAGCAAACAACACAGACGAGGAAATTAGTTTGAAGAAAACCACACACAGCTTCATGTTACTTGAAGCGGAACACCAGTCTTTCAGTATTTCTAGTGCCTATGGCCACATTACGTTGAAACATCGGTTCTCGTGCGATCACTAAAGTTAAGCGACGTCGAATCTGATCAGTACTTATAGGGTGACCACTTGGGAATACCAGATGCAGTAAGCTTGGCTACGCAGGTGGTGTAATGGATAACAACTCGACACTGGAAGTCGGAGGGCCAAGTTCCAATTCCAGTCGGGTTCGTTATATTCACTTACGCGAAAATACCCTTGGAAGGGGTATAAACCCACCTCTTCTCCCCAGCTATGGATTAATTAGTAAAACTCGTATAAGTAAGTCATTATCTCTAAAAAAAATTCTTAAAGTCCAAAAATATTTTCTGGCTTTAAACACCCGGCAAAAGTGTAAAAACAAATCTATCAATCAAACTTCAGTATTTCTCACACACAACGATTTTGACATGACTCACAAAATTACGCGTTTCTGACGCCACTCATCTGTCGATTATTTATACAACCTACATCTCATTTGAACAGAAGTAGCATGAGGTGACAATAAGTGAGAGGAGTCTTCATTCGCTTACTAAGAAAGTCTTTTTAATTAAATTTGTGTATTAATTTTTACATAAGGTAATTCTGGTACCGTGTAACCCAATACTAGTTTTTCCTCAGGTTTTTCATCAGCGACTAAACCAGTTGTCCACCAGTGAATACGGTGGCAGGATTAAAAAGAAGACCTAGCAAATGACGGATGAACCTTCTTGCGGTGTTAACGAAGTAGACTGGACTCTGTAGCTAGTGTGACGATGACACATCATTGCTGGGTGGAGGGGCTTCCTAGAATTAATTTAACAACCAGAATGGAAGGTCCCTCCAATGTAATCAACAGACACATGCCCGTAACAAGGGTGCGCGTTCGAGTTGGAGAGAAATGGCTGCGGTTCAACCTTAAGTGGGATAGTCTCCGCCAGGTTTACTCGCCTAAAACGCACCACACAAGGAATACTTCTCCGGCTTTCAACCCACACATGTATAGGAAACTAGTCAGTTGCTCAGCTACGCAGAAACCCTACGTTCATGGGACTGATGTTGATGATTAGCATATACACGAGAGCGCGCGTTGTGTGTGTGTGTGTGTGTGTGTGTGTGTGTGTGTGTGTGTGTGTGTGTGTCGTACACGCGCGTCCTTGCGGTCGATTGGTTGTCTTTGCAAATGATTTCCCATGTGTAAGTACGTTTCGGTCGGTGATAACTAGCTATAAAATTTCGCCAAATTCCAAAATGCCGCTCACCATCACCTCGGCGTTATCAACCCGACATCATCGACGGCCTTATCTACATGAACCAAGTTTGAAAACTTTTAAAATGACAGATCGCGTAAGTCTTTAAGAGGCGTGTGAACGGACCCACTTGCGATTACGCACATCAGGGCTCCTTGCATGTTGTAAATGAATACTGGAGGACGAGAGGAGCGTGGCTCGTATGGAACGACCACTGCTGGGTGCCCGGAAAATGTATACTTATTTTTTCTAGCTATCTAATCTAGCTCAAGAGTTTCATCAACAGACTGGCTTGCTCAAGGAGTTCGGGGCTCTTTAGATATCCACCTACTCTGACTTAATGTATGACTAAACTAAGCTAAGACTTTTTTTTAATATCATGTTCGTTCGGGACATCTTCTATGTGCCGTGCCATGTTCCTTCATGACGTTGGCGATCATGGCTCTCCACAATTTCTTGTCCTTTGTAGCTCTTAATAAATTTTGTCTTTTTCTCATATCTTTCCTAAACTCTTTTCTGCTATCAATTTACGCAAGCTAGCTAGGTAGATCGTGTCCTGTTTACCTCTGTCACTCTTGCCCTTAATCTGTCCTGTGAGTATCAAATTTTCCAAGTTCTCTTTCCTCATTATGTGCCCTAGAAATGTCAACTGTCTCTTCCTGATGTTAAGTATAAGTGTCCTTTTTGTTTCCATTTTCTCTAAAACTTGCTAGGTAGGTTATACGTTGTTTTCCTCTATCCCTCTTTGCCTTTAATCTGTCCTGTGAGTATCAGATTTTCCAAGCCCTCTTTCCTCATTACGCGCCACAGTAATTTCCACCGTCTCTTTCTGATGTTAAGTATACGTGTCCTTTTTGTTTCCATTTTCTCTAAAACTTGCTAGGTAGGTTATGCGTTGTTCTCCTCTATCCCTCTTTGCCTTCAATCTGTCCTGTGAGTATCAAATTTTCCAAGCCCTCTTTCCTCATTATGTGCCCTGGAAATTTCAACGGTCTCTTTCTGATGTTAAGTATAATTGTCCTTTTTGTTTCCATTTTATCTAAAAATTCGTCGTTGCTCACATGCTCGGCCCATGGTATTCTCAGCATCCTCATCCTGTATTTTATCTCTCTGTTTCATCTGCCAGGAGATTGTTCAGTATTCACTGTCATATAGGAGAGGCGATTATAACGCTCCACAGATTCCTTTTTTTCATTATCTATGAATTGTTGCATCTTTGGGAAAGATAGTGGTTTCCATTTGCCTTCTTCATTGTTTCAAATTCAAAGTAGTCTTTCTCTCTTTAAGATGTAGATGATCATGGCTCTCCATGGGTTCCTTTTCTTTATTATCTGTGAATTGTTATGTATTCTTGGAAAATAATAGTTTCACGTTGCCTTATTCGTCCTTCCAAATTCAGAGTTGTTTTTCTATTTACAGGGCGCAAGCGATCATGGCTCTCCCCGAATCCCTTTTCTTTATTATCTGTGAATAGTTATGACTTCTTGGGAAATAGAGTGGAGTGGTTTCCCGTTGCTTTCTCTACAGTTTGGAATTCAAAATTGCCTTTCCTTCTGCTGGACAGATAATCATTGATCTACACTGATGCCTATTCTTTATTATCTGTGAATTGCCATGCATTCTTGGGAAAGATAGTGGAGTGGTTTCCAGTTGCCTTCTCCACGGTGTGAAATTCAAAGTTTTCTTTCTATGAGACTGACGAGAGAACCTTGTCTGCTTTCCTATCTAATCCATAGCTGGGGAGAGAAGAGAGAGTTTCATGCTTTTCCGAAGGGTATTTTTGCAAAAGTGGATGCAACTAACTAGCCTGGAATTTCAAATCGGTCCGATGATGACCACTTTCCGCACGGATATCCGTTAAACCAAACATTTCTGTAATATAGAGTATTCACAAAAGTTCCTAACACCTTCTTTTTTTTTAACTAGAAACTAAATACGCGGTTGAAAATCAGTTTTTTGCTATAAAAATTTACATACGCTGAATATTTAATATATTGTCGGGGTTTCTGATGCGGTGTTGAATTTGTACAGGACTGAGTTTTTAATCCCACCTCCTTTCTTCTTACAATCAAATTTAGACTTATGATCTAAATTAGAGGAGTTTGATAACCATATTTGATTTTCCGAAATGCCCCACCCCCTATCTAAGTGCCAACCGGCCTTGGCTGTCAGTGAGTTATGTGCCATGCGTGACATATTTGATCTATTCTCGGGGTTTCTGTTGCGGTGTTGAATTTGTACAGGACCGAGTTTTTAATCCCACGTCCTTTTGTGACGTCCCCCGGTGTCGCTGCGCCAATCGTGACGTCTGCCTGGCCACACCCGCCGTGCTGTCCTAGTCGCGGCGCCAATTGTGACGTCACCCCGTCTGTCTCCGCGCCGTCGCCGTCCTATCCTGTCCCGTGGCGACCAATGTGACTTGGTATTGGTCGCGGCACCAAATGTGACGTTCTAACCTTTTGCTGATTAGGATGGGAATCTGGTTAGATTCGGTATCAGACTTGTCGTTCCCAGCTCGCCTCCAACGTCTGGTTAACGAAGTAACTGTTTTGATTTCTAGTCTAACCTAGCCACGTTGTGATTTGATCTTAGGTAGACGAAATCAATCAGTCGCCGGACCGTAATGCAAGCTGAGTCCGGACAAGGGTAATATCGCACAAGTATATGTAAAAGAAAATAAAGTAATAACTCGAAAAGTTCAAATGTGTTAAAAAAAAGGATAACAATATTTTATATCTGGTTGCTGAATACAGGACTGCATCTTCTTCTCAACCCACTATATGGATTCGTGACACTTTGTGTTTGTTAGGCGTGTCTTAACATCTTAAGTTGTTTGTTCTTTAAGAAACTGGTTCTTGGTATATCTTCAGGCGATATTCGTAAAACTTGTTTTGGTGGTGTGAGTCTAAGTCGTTCTTCAAAAATAAATTGTTCTTCGTTAGAAGTTGAGGTCGTGATTTGCGTGGAATCTTTGTCAGCTTTCTGCGAGGCGGGTTTGAGGTGTCTTGATAATTCTAAATCTACACTCCACTTCTTTGTTTTCGGTCAGAAAAATTTATTATTTTCCATTTTTGGAAGTCCTTCCAGATTCTTCCTTTTTCATATGGGTATCTCACCCAATCCCTTTAGAGGGCATCAACAGGTTTCCCCTCTCTCTCACAGTGGCATCTCACGCCGATCCCTTCAGGGGGCGTCAACAGGCCTCCCCCTCCCTTCTTCACATGATTACCTCCTCCCAATGCTCACGTCACCATTCAGCCAATGGGCGCTCAGCGGCGTTGGTGTGGCCGGACTAGCCTCTGTTTAAAAATTCTTGCTCAAAGAAAAAAAATTATCTTCCTGTTTCTTTTTCTTTTCTTTCTTTTTCTTCTTCTCGACAACAACCCAATACGACCCGTAGTGTGGTCTCTTAATCTCAATTTTATCCTGAATGTCACCTGGGATTCATCACTCGGGACCTTCGCCAAACAAGTGGGTGGTCAATTGGACGTATCGCACCTTGGTGCCAATTATTCGTTCTGATAAAATAATTTTGCTATCATAGCCAGCTCCTGACAATAAACAGGTGTTTTTCCCAAATGATATGGGGGTAATTCAACAGACATTTTGGTTTCGGTCAGGGCTTGACCTAATTAATTTTTATCTCTCAGTTTCTGTTTCGTAGGCCACTCGACCAACCTGAAACTTTCATTATTGCCATACTCGGTGCGCCGTCATAAATCAAACGCGGCAGATGCGCGACCTTACTTTCTTCGCTAATGAAAATAAAATCTTTCCACTTTTCTTTGTTAAAACAAAAAATAACATCGCTTAGTGCCCTTTTAGTGATGGCTTCTTATCACCTAAATTTAATTCTCGCCTTTTCTTTTTTTTTCTTTCTTTC